TTGGAGCCTTGCGCCACGTTGGATGAAGCCACTCTCGGGTACGTCTTGAGTTGGTAGATATCTCCGTTGAGAACACCTTGCGCGAATTGCTCCCCCTTCCAAAAGAGGTTCATTTTCGCACCGTCGATCGTGGCGATCACTCCCTTCTTCGCAAGTTGCGGGACGGATAGAAGGTTCACCTTCACCCCCGGGACGTGAAACACGTTCGTCACGTCCACCGGACCGCTATCGACGATGAGGCGCGTACTCCCAACTCCGACCACCGGTAGCGATTCGTTGTTTCCGAACACGATGCTCGTGACGTCTCCCGGAGCGCCAATGTTGTTGAGGAGCGACGCCGAGTGCGTCATGTGTTGCGTTGCGCCGGTATCGAGGAACCACGCGTCGCTTGGAGTTTTGTTCCCGTTGCTGGCCACTAACACGAGCGACTCCTTTGAATCATCGGCCTCGCCGGATGCCGTGTGCGCGTTGCCCTCTTGGTCCCGCGCCATCGATGGAGTCCAATCGCTCGGCCGCTTTCGACACTCACGCCAAAAGTGTCCCGGTTTGCGGCAATAGTGACACTTGCTGCGATGCTCGCTCCCACCGGACGATTCCTTCGTTGCGTCCTTGCTCCACTTGGACTTCTTTCCGGAACTCCCTCCGGAGTACATGGCGGCACCCTCGCTCTCATTAGCGAATTGTCGGCGACGCGATTCTTCATGGAGAAGCCGACCAACCACCATTTCCTTCGTCCAAGTGTCTTGCACGCTATCGAGTGTCGTAATCACCGTCGACCACTCTTCCGGAAGGCCGCAAAGCAAGGTGAGAATCCAATCCTCCTCCGTGACCGTTCCACCGAGGTCCATGAACGTTTCCCCGAGTTCCTCCACACGAGTCGCAAACTCGTGCATCGATTCGCCCGCGCGCATCTTCACCGTGTAGAACGCATTCCGGGCTAGGATCTTGCCGTGGAGAGTCTTGTTCACGTGGATGGTCTCGAGCCGCTTCCACGCTTCATGCGCCGACGCTTCGAGCTTGATGCACATGCGCACCGAGCTCACGAGATTGATGCCGATGCGCGAAATCAACGTAGCGAACGCCTTTTGGTCCTTCTTCTTCCATGCCGCGATGCCGCTCTCATCGTCCGGCTTCTTCTCCGTTCCATCGAAGAAACCCCAAAGTCCCCGCTCCATCATGAGCACTTGGAACTTAAACTTCCACGCGGAGTAGTTTTGTCCCGTGAAAATCGGTACCGCCGACGTGTCGAACATCGTCGCGGTTGCCCAGGGTTCGCCGGAATTTACAACGACACCATCCAAGGAAGTGCGGGAGGCCTCGCTTGAAGTCATCATGCGTGCTCCTTGTCGCGCGCGTAGACTCCTCCGACCAGCTCTGATACCACTGTTGTAGAGGACTCTCCTCTACTTTGCAAGAACTGGGAGTTGTTCTAAACGATAGAGCTCTGTCTTAGCTTTCCAACGAGCCATCAAACACGTCGATCGCCTAAGTATTCTCCGAGATATAGGCGTTCACGTGCTAGGTGGTGCTCTTGAATGCAAGTAAAGAAGCTCTCTGGAATTTGTGTTCGAATGTACCTTGTACAAAGAACTCTGAGTTTCACTATGATGGCATGCAATACAAAGAAAACAGATTTATAGCATGCAAACAAGATCGAATCGCATAAGTAACCTCGAACCGCTACACTCGCGAATGTTCGAGTAACATCGAAAGGGTGAAATTCGACTCTCGAATTTCACCGATCCGAATTCTCCTTGGGTCTCGAATGTTCCTGGTGCTGCCATGTGGCACCGAATCGAATGGGTCTTCCGAAGTCAATCCTCAACCCCACGCAAACCTGCAACTCACTCGAAGGTGAGCACAAGTCACACATTCGGTGGGTTGGGGGCATACAAACGCCCCACCACCACCTTGCTTCCAACACACGTAATCTCCAACATTTGTTTGTGTGTGAGTATGTGTGTGTGTGTGTATGTGTATGTGTGTGTGTGTGTGTCTGTGTGTATGTGTGTGTGTGTATGTGTGTGTGTGTGTGTGTGTGTGTGTATGTGGTGCGGGTGGGTGGGTCATTGTGCCAGTGCGTATCGTCTCCAACCAACACAAAGCCCAAAACCCACACACCCACGCCTTTCTCTTCTCTCCCTCAACTCCTTTTCCTCCTCTTGTATCCCTCCTCGCCCTGCTCGTCCCCCTCCGCTCTTCTGCTTCACAGAATAAGAAAGCCCACCACGGAGGCTTTCACGAAATGTCAGCATTCCAAAGCACGCCCGGCGATGACGTAGACAGCATTCCACTCCCTCGCATCACCTCCAAACTCTCTCCACCCCACTGCGCTCCCGCCCATGCCCAATGCACTTCCAAGCCCAATCCCAGCGCCTCGTGACCCCCCCCCACACACCGCAGCCACACTTCCTTATCGCAGGCCTCTCGCTCCTCCTCTCATCTGCCTTGCTATAAACCCTTGTCCAGAAAGCACCTGTCCTGTCCAGACCTCCCCAGCATGGCTCCAGATCCGCTGCATTTAGCAACACCCTCGCCACTTCCCCTTTCCTCGCCCCTGCCCTACACCCATTCCCCTCGCTCCCCTCACTCTCCCCACTCTCCCCACTTCATGCCTCCTCAACTCACCTGGGATGACCCTACATGCTCCTGTTCTTGCTCCTGCTTCCTCCGCCGCCATGCACCACCTGCTGCCTCGCTGCCCAACCACAAGCAGCAGCAGCAGCAGCAGCAGCAGCAGCAGCAGCAGCAGCAGCACGCGCAATGCAACCAGCGCCGAGAGCCGCACATGCTTCCCACCGCTGCAGGTAACACCTGCTCCCTCCCCCTGCCTCTCTACCCGCATGCCAGTCCGTTCTCTTCCCCGCATCCACAACAGCACGTTCGGACTCGAAAGCGTGCACACGCTCAGGCAGGGCGGCGGGACGATCATGCACGTACGGATTATGCAATAGCGACAGAGGCAGCAGGAACAGATGCAGAGGGGTCAGGAGCATGTGAGATGTGGAGTGCGCTTGAGACATGGGAAGTAGGTCAACCTAGGACTTGTGCTTGCCCTTGCCACTGCAGCAGCCTGTGCGGAAGCAGCAGCAGTTGCAGCAGCAGCAACAGCAGCGCATGCCATGGTTGCTGTTCCCGCCTGGCCGACAGTACCCCTCCTTTTCACATGCTTCTCGCGGATTACCCTCCTCGTCCTCCCCTCCTTGCTGCTTCCATGACCGCTCATGCCAAATCTCACTCTACCCCAGCACGAGCGTCAGACGCCCCTAGGAACAGAAGGCATGCCTTTAGATCATCAGCAGCAGCGCCGCCTGCATCAGCATTGGAGGCAGTGGGAACGAGCTCGGCAGCAACAGCAGCAACACCAGCAGCACCAGCAACAGAAGCAACACCAGCAGCACCAGCAACAGCAGCAGCACCAGCAGCACCAGCAACAGCAGCAGCACCAGCAACAGCAGCAGCACCAGCAGCAGCAAAAACAGCAGCATCAGCAGAAGCAGCAGCAACGGAAACAGCAAGAGAAACAGCAGCGGCAGCAGCAGCAGGAACGTACGCAGGTTCTGCCGATCCATTCCCCCGGATAGCAACAGCAACAGCAGGCAGGGGAATGGCGGCCCTCAATCATCCAGCCCTACTGCGCACGAGATCTCCCCACATCCAAAACAACCCCCTTTCCGCCAAACCAACTGCACCAGTCAAGCGTTTCCGGCTCGCCTCCCTCTCCTCTCCCAAAGTGGCAGCAAGGCTTTACTCTCACAGCAGTAGCGGCAGCAGCAGCGGTGGGGACTCAGCCGACCACACATCACCCCGTACCTCCCCTCTCTACCATTTTTCCACCGCTACTGAACCCTCCACCGCCCACGCTTCTCCTGCTGCCGCCTTCCGCCCTCCCTTCGCCACTGCCGCTGCCGGCGCCCCGCTTTCCTGGCCCAGGGCGCATGGGCGGCCGCTGAGATCTCTTCCTCTTACTGCTGCTGCTCCTGCGCTGCCCGCACGCCTTGCTGGGGGGAGGGCTCTTGGGGCGTTTGAATCAGGCGCTTCTCACAGCGTGCAGAGGGGCCTGGGAGGGCACTATGCGCGGTGGACGTGGGAGGAGGGGGCGAATGAGAGGGAGCACGAGCGGCGGAATTACTTCAGAGAGATGGAGAGGCGTGCGAGGGAGTGGGAGGAGGTGGCTAGGAGAGGGAGGGAGGGAGGGGGTGAGGGGGGGAGGAGAGAGGGTGGAGAAGGGATGGAGTGGGTGATGGGTGCGGAGGGACGGCGTGAGGGTGGGCTGGAGGGAAGAGAGGAGAGGGGTGAAGGGGAGGAAGGTGAGAGACAGGAGGGTACAGGCACTGGAGAACCAGCAGCAGCAGCAACAGCTGTCGCAGCAACAGCAGAGGAGGAGGAGGGGGAGGTGGGGGTTGCGGTTGGGGAGCGGGGGACGGAAACGGCAGCACGGCCAGGCGAAGAGGGAAGTGCAGGAGATGTAGGGCGACCACGGGAGGGCTGGTTACAAGTGGATACAGGTGCAGGAGATGTGAGCAGAGAGAGTGTGCCTGGTGTTGGTGGTGTGCCTGGTGGTGTGCCTGGTGGTGTGCGTGGTGAGGGGAGAGAAATCGAGCCAGTGCTTGGCGGGCAGGAGGAGGGTCGTGCGTCCCCTCCTGACGCCATCTCCCTCTTGGACGTGCATAGGGAAGAGAGGGGGGAGGAGGAGGAGGAGGATGCAGGTAGGCGGGCAGAAGAGGGGGCGGTGGGTGGGCGTGGGGTAGCAGTGAGTGGGGATGAAGGCACGCAAATCGGTGGTGGGGAATGGGCAAGGGGGGAGGAGCAAGGCGGCGGTGGTGGTTCGAGTGGAGAGAAGGGCTTAGCAGGGAGGTTGGTGAGAGGCAGGAGAGAGGAAACATGGGTGCAAGTGGAGGAGGTTTTGCATTTGAAGGGAGTGCAAGGGCAAGGCACAGGAGACGTGGCAGGGCAAGGCACAGGAGACGTGGCAGGGCAAGGCAGGGGTGACGTGGCAGGGCAGGGCAGGAGTCATGTGGAAGGGTGGCTTGGCAAGGCAGCAGCACTGGGACAAGGCATGGTTGCAGCACGGGGAGGGTGGGGTGAGACGGCTATGGAGAATACACAGGAGAGAAGCGGGGAAGCTGGTGATGGTGGGAGAGAGAGGGGGAAGAGGGCGAGAGACGAGGGACAGAGGGGTGAAGAGGCTGGAAAAGCGCAGACACTGAGAGGTGGGGCGGGTGGTAGAGAGATGGGCATGGGTACGCATGGAAGCATGCTGCCGGGGGAGAGAGTGGAGATGGGTAGCGAGGGGGAAAGAGAGCGCGCCAGAAGAAGGGTGCACGGAGCAAAGGGGGTGGCAGCAGCATTCGACCCCAGAAAGGGGGAAGAGGCAGAGCAAGAGGCGCAGGCAGTGGGTGCAGTGGGTGCAGTGGGTGCAGTGGGTGCAGTGGGTGCAGTGGGTGCAGCGGGTGCAGCGGGTGCAGTGGGTGCAGCGGGTGCAGCGGGTGCAGCGGGTGCAGCGGGTGCTGTGGGTGCAGCGGGTGCAGCGGGTGCAGCGGGTGCAGCGGGTGTAGCGGGTGCAGCATGTGCAGCGGGTGCAGCGGGTGCTGCTCCCCCGCGCTTCACCAGGAAAGAGGCCGCTGCACTGGCTGAGCAGGGCCAGAGCACAGACGCCCCACCCGTGCCCCGCCCTCCACAGGGACCTCTCTCCGTGGCATCTCCCGAGGATCCCAGTGCTACCCATACCCGTCCAGAGCAAACCGTTGCCCCGTCCCCGTCGTACCCGCCGTGCCTGGTGCCAGCACACACCCTCCACGACCTCATGGTGATCCGCGCGCTGCACTCCTCTCTGCTGCGCCTGCCGCGCCACTCCCTGGGCACGGCCCTGGGCATGCGCACGAGAGAAGGGCAGCTCACGTCCCTCCCTGCGATCATCGTGTTTGTGTCGTGTAAGGTGCACCGGCTGTGGGTGCCGGACGGCCAGATGCTGCCACGTCAGCTTGTGGGGCCCACAGGGGTGGTGTGTGACGTGGACGTGGTTGAGTTTTGCTACACGGATGCCCCTGCTGCTGCCATGTATGCTGCCCAGGCGTCCCCTCCCTCTTCTGCTACCCCTTCTCCTCCTCCTCCTTCCACTGCCGACCCACATGGGGAGATAGACATTTCTGTCATGGCTGCTGCTCCTGATGCTCGTACTGGTACTGGTGCTGGTTTTGCAATTCCAGATCCCAGCAGAGAGCGCGTGTGGAGCGCAAGGGAGGGCGCAGGAGGGCCAGGCGCGGGGCACAGGAGGGCAGGGCGCAGCAGAAGAGCAGCAGCAGCGGCAGCAGTGGTGGAAGAAATGAAAGGGGCCGCAGGGGACGTGGGGCCAGGGTCGCAGGTAGCAAGCGAGGGCACGTACGGCACGCTGACAGCGGTAGTGGTGAGCACAAGAGGCGAGCATGCAGTGGGAGTGCTGACGAACAGACACGTTGCAGTGGACTTCAACCAGCCGCGCCAGGCTCTGCACCACCCGCTGCCGCCTAGTAGGGGCCCGGGCGTGCTGCTGGGGCTGGTGGAGCGGGCGGCTTCGTTTACTTCAGATAGCGCGTGGTACGGCATGTTTGCCACGCCTAACACTGGTGAGAGCATGTGTGGGGGACGGGGGGAATGTTGGTGAGCTGAATGCTTGTATCACACGCTGCCTGCTGTTATCACGTGCCGCGTGCTGTTACCACATGCTCCATGCGCCTTTCACAAGCCGCATGCTCTTGTCACAAGCTGCATTCTCTTATATCGTGCTGCACGCTTGAATAAGAGGCGACACGCTCTTATTTCATGTCATTATTTAATCTCCTCAACTTCAGGGCGAGTGTGCACTCTTATCACAACCTGTATGCCCTTATCACATGCCACATGCTCTTACAACATGGCACACGCTCTTACCCTATGCGGCATACTCTTATCACATCCCGTATGCTCTTGTTGCTTGTAGAATGCGCTTCTCACATGCTGCATGCTCTTAACGCATGCCCCACGCATATATATAATGCCACACACTCTTATAACATGGCGCATGCCCTTATGCCATGCAGCACGCCTTTAACACATGCTGCAAGCTCTTATAGCATGTCACACGCTTGTCGCACACTGTTATCGCAAGCCCCATGCAATGATCACATGCCGCATGCCCCATGCGTGCTTCTCACATGTTGCATGCATGCCCCGCGCTTTTATTACATGCCACACGTACTTAGCACATGCCACACGCACTTGGCACATGCCACACACACTTAGCACATGCCACACGCACTTGGCACATGCCACACACACTTCGCACATGTCCCATGCTCTTAATGACATGTCACACGCTTTAATCACAGCCCGCATGCTCTTATCACATGCCGCACTCTCTGATTACATGCCACACCTTCTTATCGAATGAAGCATGCCCTAAACACATGTTGCATGCTCTTATCACATGCCACACTTACTTATCACATGCCCAACTCTCTTAGCACATGGAGCACGCACTTATCACATGCCGCACACTCTAATCACAAGCCATACCCTCTTATCCCATGTCGCATGCACTTAACATGCTGCATGCTCTCAACACATGCCACACCCACTTACAACATGACATGTTGCATGCTCTTTTCACATGCCCCACGCTTCTATGACATGGCAAACCGCGTGCTCTTGTCACATGCCACAAGCTATTATCACAAGCCGCACACTTCAATCACATACCATAAACACTTATCCCATGTCGCATGCGTTTATCACATGCTGCATGCGCTATCACAAATGGCTTGCCCTATCACTTGTCGCATGCTCTTATCACATGCCACACCCTCTTATCACAAATGGCTTGCTCCTATCACTTGTCGCATGCTCTTATCACGTGCTGATGACATGTTGCATGCTCTTTTCACAAGCCGCACGCTTGTATCGCGTGATGCATGCACTTATCAAGTTATCTTCGCATGCAGCAGGTGCTTACCACATACTGCACGCTCTCAAAACATGCCTCGCGCTCTTATTTTATGCCACACGCCGTTGGCACATGCCACACCCTCTTATAAAATGCTGCACCCTCTGATAAAATGCCACACGCGCTTATCACATGTTGCATGCTCTTATCACATGTCACACCTTCTTATCGCATCAAGAATGTGCTTATCACATGCTGCATGCTCTTATCACGTGTCTCGTGCTCCTTCCGCATGCAGCACGAATCTAATGCATGCTCTTATTACAAGGTGCGCGATCTAACACCATCCTGCAAGCTAATCAAACATGCAGCCCGTTCTATTTACATACTGCAGGCGATTCCCACAGGTTGCACGTTCTTACCATATGCCGCACGTTCCTACACATGCTGCTTATTGCTTGCATGATGCACACCCTTATCAGATGGTGCATGCACGCTACTACAGCAGGCTGCACGCTCGTTTCACATGGTGGATGCCCTAGCTAGCTTACTTCACATGCTGCACGCCCTAGTTACATCCCGCACGATATTCTCACACGCCGCATGCTCTTATCAACTGCTGTATACCCCTAAGTATACACCGCACGTTCTTATCACATGCTGCCTGCTCGTTTTCGCATGCTGTGCATCAGTTTTACTTGCTGCACGCTGTTCAGCCGCCACTCACTGGATGCTGTTCAGCCGTCCTTACTACTCACTGCATGCTGTTCAGCCGCCCATATTACTCACTGCACGCTCTTCAGCCGTGCTTATTACTTGCTGCATGCTGTTCAGCCGCCCATATTACTCACTGCACGCTCGTCAGCCACCCTCAATACTTGCTGCGCCCTAGTCAACAACCCGCTGCAAGTCGGCCAGAATGTGCCTTGGCCGTCCTCTCATCACCTCCAGCCACAGCCAAAACTCACAAACCCCTCCGCCATTCTCTCTCCCCTCTCCCCTCTCCCCGCGGCCCACGCACGCGCAGAGGCGTACGTGCAGGTGGATGCAGCGTTTGTGCCGCTGCACCGGTCGCTGGACACGAGTATCATCACACCGGAGCTGCGAGGGCTGGGAGCCATGGGGCAACCCTGCGCCGTCTCGCTGCATGATGCGATTGGATCCCTCATCAACCGCCCCGTCTGCAAGGTCATGCTCCGCGCGCTGCCATGTCATTCCGTGCTATGCCACGCCCTCGCCCTGCTCTGCCCCACCCCGCCTTGCCCCGCGCGCCCTGGCCTGCCCAGTCATGCCATTGCCATTGCCATTGCCATTGCCATTGCCATGCCATTCCATGCCATGCCATGCCATGCCATTCCATGCCATGCCATGCCATTCCATTCCATGCCATGCCATGCCATGCCATGCCATTCCATTCCATGCCATTCCATGCCTTCCCATTCCATGCCATTCCATGCCTTCCCATTCCATGCCATTCCATGCCATGCCATGCCATGCCATGCCATGCCATGCCATGCCATGCCATGCCATGCCATGCCATGCCATGCCATGACGTCCTGCCCAGCCATGCTATCCCACGTCACGTGCCAAAGCACCTTGGCACACACTAATCCTGCCATGCTACTCACTGTGTTAAACACAACCTCCTCATGCCATCTCTTGTTCCTTTCTCAAACCCCCTTCCCCACACCCCAGGACCCCCACCCAACCCTCCCCTCTCTCTTTCCTTTTTCCTGTTACTTATCCTTGCCCCTCCTCCTTCCAGCCCCACCTCTATACCCGAAACCCTAACCTAACCAACCCCTCCTCCCCCTCTTCCTCCTCCCTTTGTTCCTCAAACCCCGTCTTCCTACTGCCACTCTTCCTACTCGTCAACCCTTCACTTCCTCGCCCACCTCCCCCCTCCCCACCTGCCCCTCCCCCAGTACCCCCAATGTGAGCACATTTCCGCTGGCAAGACCACGCCACGTAAACGAGGCCCTCCCAGCTCACCCTCTCCCCCTCTCAAACGGTCCTCCTCCCTCCCTCTCTCTCGTTATTTTGCTCTCTCCGCCACCCTCAACTCCACCTCACCGTTCTCTCTTCTCCATTCTTCCTGCCCTGCACCTCTCCCGTCCACCTCTCGCCCGCCCTTCCCTGCAGCAGATAGGAGCGACGTCGGGCGTGACGCACGGGCGCATAATGGGGTACGCGGTTGAGTATAACGACAATCGCAGCCGTACGCTTTTCACCGACTTCCTTATTCTCGGCGAGCAAGGACAGCCGTTCGATCAGGAGGGCGATAGCGGCAGTCTCATCCTGGCAATGCCGAACCGTGAAGGGGATTCGACGGACGGTCGTGATCGCTCGGATGGCGACAATGTGCTTCGACCAATCGGCGTGATCTGGGGGGGCACGGCGAATCGCGGGCGGCTCAAACTGCGGCGGGGGCATGTTCCGGAGAACTGGACAAGTGCGGTGGACGTGGGGAGATTATTGCGACTGCTTGACCTGCGAATGATCACGACATCGGAAGAATTGAGAGGTAACGTCCTGTTGTTACAACTTGCATCTGCAGATTTTGTTTCTATTAGCATTATATTTATTGACCTGCGTTGTTTGTTTCGATGCAGCTTTGCTGGAGCACCCTGGTGTTCAGGACTTCAGCATGCAAAGGATGACCTAAATTTCCGGAACGCTTGAATATTTCATTTCTTCAATTCATTGTGTATCATTTGCAGTTAAAATGTGTTTGTATCAAGTGCTTCAAAGAAAAGGTCATCCTAATATGTGCCAGCCCACCTTCACAACATCGTAAACATTCACGCCCAAAACGAAATAAGTAAAATAAATAAAGCAACAATAACAACAATAATCACATGGCGTTGTCTTGTCAGTGAATAAAAATTGACTAGAATAGGTGCATACATAATATGTGTTAAGATATGAAGATATATGAGAAGGCATTCCTGTATGCTGCAGGAGCCGACTCTACCGAGTACGAAGTCGAGGAGTCAGAAGAGTCGAAGCGACGCAGCAACCGTCTGACCAAGACCGATGCAGGCAGAAACATTTGAAGTGATAAGAGCGGGACAGGGCCTCAGTTATCAGGATAATTTATCCTGATTCTCCCGAATTCAGGATAGGTGTCATGTGCTAGTCCTGGAAAAACAGCATAACAGGAATAATTGTCCTGTAATTTCAGTATAACGTTATTTTGCGTACTGGAAACTCAGGATAAGGCTGTAGGTTCAGCCCTGATGAGTCAGGATAGTGTCGAATCTCGCTCTGAAGCGAGATGTACTGTACGAAAAATCTTCTGGGTTTCGGGCCTAAAATATCTACGGGCGAGCAACTCAAACCCAGGAGCCAGTGAGAATCGAGCACGAGACCTTTACGTCACGCATTTTCGCTTTACCCGCTACCAAACTCCAGCTATCACGAAGTGCAGCACAGAGTTTACGGGATACCTCCATATGTAGCACTGTCATTTCAGCATACCTCACCCTGTGCAGCCCTGACAATTCAGGGCAAATCCTGATTTCCTAAAAACTGCCCTGAGGCCTCAGTGTACCCCCAAACGAATCTGAGGCCCTGGAGCGGGAACAAGTTTGAAACGGGTTCCCGCGCCGCACGGTTTGAATTCGCTGCAATAAGGGAATGTAGCCCTTAGAGTACACGGCTAGTCTAGGTATTTTCGTATTCCCCTGTACTCCTATATAAACCTGATGTATGCATGCAATTATCAATCTCAGTCATTTACATTCACTATGACCTGAGTTCACTACTTCCGCTGCAACACTAATCTCAGTCATTTACATTCACTCTGACCTGAGTTCACTACTTCCGCTGCAACACTACCCTGCGATCAACCCTGGGCGATCCTTCGCTAAGTCCCACTTGGGATTGTAACAATATGCACCAAACTTGTATCCTCTATTGAGTAACCCAACCTAGCATATATGTGCACGTACAAAAGCTTATACATAGATTGTCACACCCCTCCCTTAGCCTAGGAAAGGGGTAATCTATAGACGGCAGAATTACCGTAACTCATGGCGGCACTACTAGTCCAGCCTTTTGTCAGAATAGCAGCTATAACGCAGGAGCCATAGCTAGGGTTTAGCAAGCTAGGCAAGAGAGAATAGGCAAAATAGTGGATTGAACTAGCAAGCAGATGGATACACATAGGAAACCCTAAGGGGCCGTACTCACTATAGAGTACCCCACTGCCGGCTAGACAAACTACACATTCTGACACACCCCCATAGTCAAAGTGGGGTATGATCAGCACAACAAGCAGCAGTTCATAGTTCACAAATATAAGCAAAGCTAGAGGCTATCACAGAGGGCAAGTGAGAAGGAGGAGGAACTGTGAGAGGAGAGAAGATGGGAGGCGACGGCTGAAGATGGGAAGCTGCAGACACACGGGCAACAGGAGCGGCGCGCACAGTGGCTACCGGTGGCAAGGGCCCCGGACTACAGGAGTAACAGGCTCCGCGGCTAAGACGAGCGGCAGGAGCAACGGACCCACGGGCGACAGGCGCAGCAGGCTCTCTGGGCTACCAGCGGCAAGGGCCCCGGACTACAGGCGCTGCGGACGACAAGACTGCTGCCTCCACTCAACCTCCCCCAACTGTCCCACACCCCTTTCACACACCCCCTGCTGAACCCCTAGCTCCACTCACACTCCACCCCCCAAGCACCACTCCGAAGGCTCCCACACATCCACCCCCCCAGCAGCAGCTACAGCAGTGGGAGGCGGAGGAGGAGGAGGAGCTGGGGACGGGTCACACACCCATCACCCCCAGACCCGCCACCCCCAAACCCTAACACAGGCAGCACGGGGCAGGAGCGCGGGTAGCGGGCGAGCGGAAGCGGGGCGTCGCGCTGGTCCCTGGGGCGCCTCGACGGGCGACGGGAGGGGGCGACGCGCGGGCCCCCGGGGCGCCTCGACGGGCGACGGGAGGGGGCGACGCGCGGGCCCCCGGGGCGCCTCGACGGGCGACGGGAGGGGGCGACGCGCGGGCCCCCGGGGCGCCACGACAGGCGACGGGAGGGGGGCGACGCGCGGGCCCCCGGGGCGCCACGACGGGCGACGAGAGGGGGGCGACGCGCGGGCCCCCAGGGCGCCGCGGCGAGTGACGGGTGGGGGGGCGACGCGCAGGCCCCCAGGGCGCCACGACGGGCGATGGGAAGGGACAGCGCGCGGGCCCCCGGGGCGCCACGACGGGCGCGCGCGGCGGGCAGGAAAAACGTCGCGCGCCACGGGGCGCGCGACAGACAGTACAGCAGCAGCGGAAGCATGTGGGCCCACAGGCCAGGAGCGCAAAGGCTCTAGTACCATGTCAGAATAGCAGCTAGAACGCAGGAGCCATAGCTAGGGTTTAGCAAGCTAGGCAAGAGAGAATAGGCAAAAGAGTGGATTGAACTAGCAAGCAGGTGGATACACATAGGAAACCCTAAGGGGCCGTACTCACTATAGAGTACCCCACTGCATGCTAGACAAACTACACATTCTGACACCTTTAAGGCAAAAGACCACAAGGTTAGTCAATGAGTATATACCGTATTACCCCGGATATAAGCGCAGAACAGTGTTTTTTGGGGGGGTGCGCTTATAATTGAGTCGAATTTATAAGCGCATGCGCCTGTAATGAAATTTACTTTTAAACATACCAAAGTGAAGCCCTCAATAAGGCGAATTCAACCGACCATGCACCAAGTGGGATCGTGCATGGGTTTCAGGCAAAAACAGCTGCGGTTCGGTTTCCCACCGCACTGTTTTGTCTAGAACCATCGAACGTGACAGCAGTGACGGGGATGTTGCCGTGCCGCCCAATCACAGCCGCATGCGCTGTGTGGCATGTGCAATTCTTCTGAACCCTCTCAAAGGGTTTGAAAAAATCCTTGCCAGCGCAGCGTTTATGCTGCCACGCAGGGTCCTCTACGGGGGTAGGCGGGGGTTTCCCGCCTGTCATTGACGAGGACCCCGAGGCGCCAACGTTACGGGGTCCCCTTCGTTGCCCATTTGTGCACCATCATTCTCATTTTTTTCCATTCAGTTTCCAGTCTAGCCCGCCTGGCTGGCGAAGCCATGGCGGAATTCAGCGGGACTCACTTTCTCTTCAAGAATAAACCACGCCACCCGTGGCGACTTATTGACGGGTGGTATTGTCAAACTATAATGCTGCTTATGTTGTGTAGGCTGTAGTGGGGTAGCCTATATGTGTCAGAAGTATATTGTAGGCTGTAGTGGGGCACTCCTTATGGGGTACAGTACTGTTAGGTTTTGCCCATACAAACCTTGTACTGTCCTGTTTCTAGTTATTCTCGTTTCCTACTTTGTGACAATATGGGGTACAACCCAATTAGGGTTAGCACTTGTACCACATTTCTGATCAATGCATTCATTCCTGCTCGTTAGTTTCTAACAGGTATACCCGTGAGCCAACAGCGCCTCCAGTGCCACCTGAACCCCCTGCACTCCCTGCTCCTCCTGCTCCTCCTGCGCCTCCAGCTCCACCTGCTCCTCCCGCTCCTCCCGCTCCTCCGAATCCGCCTGATTCTGGTACGGCAAGTGCTCACCAACGGCCCGTGCTCCAGCTGTATTTACCAGCCACGTTCGACGAGTGGCTGGCTGAAGCGGACACACCCAAGGCCCCCGACGCGTGCATCCAAGCTCCGCCGCCTGCACCACGGTGGGGACAGCCTGAAGCCTGCGCGTGGGACGAGTCGGCTGTGGGCGCCGACGATGATGTGGCCACCAATAAACATAACAGCGGCGCCGGCGAAGTTGGAGGCGACGGTGAAGCGGGAGACGAAGAGGACGTGTTCCCAGATCGTGATGCAACTGCCGAGGTGGATGACGGTGTGGAGTCTTGGTGGCGCGACGCACCACGCGAGAAGATGCCGATACCAACGTATCTGCCAATCAACAAAAATCGACCACACCCGTCC